AATTGGAAAAATTAGCACTGCTTTTGAAGCTTTGCAAAATTTAACATTGCTATTTCAAAAAGAAAAAAAAGTTGGGATTTCAAGAGAGCAGAAGAAAATAAGATTGAAGTTGAAGAATCTATCTAAAAGTTCAGTAAAACATATATTTAATTTTATATTCAGAACTTAATAGATTATGATAAATCTGAATTAAGTACTTAAAGTAATAAATGAAGCATTTTACAATCAGCCTTAAATAAACGTTACGCAGAGCAACTGTGCGAAAGTAGTATGTAATTAATTTCAAAATTTCCCAACCACACGGTTGTTGCATTTTATTGAATACTTGTTTTGGATTAAGCATTCAACAAGTAGAATTACTCTTCAGACATTCAGCTTCTAATTTTCTCGACATTTGATTTATAGTCCGATGGCCCGAATATTAATTTGATGGGTCCAACCCACCGGAATTTCCCGGCTATCTGGCCGCTTGATCAGTGGAGTTACCCAGTGTAAATTTACTCAGCTGCCGGTATGTCGTTTGGGGCATTGATCTGGTAGAGCAACTTTCTTTCTTCTTTTCTAAATCAAAAGTATTGCCGCTTTCGCTAGCCACTAGAGGCCGCTTTTGCTAGAACCAGAGGCGCTGCTGAAAAACGATTCAGAAAGTAAAAACGTGTTCTACTCGTTGGAGTCAGTATTCTTTCCCGCGTCAGCGAAAGCAGAGGAAGCGCTTGAGGCATGGTGGTAGGCCAAAAGAAGGAAAAGTATTTATTCTGTCATTGATGCAAATAACCTAAACTGAGGAAAATATGTTAAATGCTTTCAACAATCCTTAATACAGTTAAAGAATATTTGATTCTGAAATGAATTTATTCATCCGAAAATAAATTAAAAAGTGAAAGGATTTTCATGTCTAGCTATCATTTGCTAAGTGACTGTCATGCCGGAGGATCACCACAGCGCTTATAAAAATATGAACATATACATGTCATGAATCGAGAATAATTTTCCTTTTTAAACTTTAGAAAGAGAGGTGAGATCAAAATCATTTTTCCCAAAAGCTTTAATTTAACAACCGCTTGGCACAACGTATGTATCACATATTAATTCCTGTTTCAAACGTTAGAACTCAATATTATGAGTACGAAAATGAAATAAAGGGCTGTAATGATAAAACAACAGATGCTGATGTCACTATTCGTCATTTCCTTTTAACGTTAGAAGAATTTGTAATTTTTAATTAATTTCATTTCCTTCCTATAATCAATGCTGTTTTCTCAGAATGAAATTACAGAAATACGAACATACTTATGAATATATAAATTCAACAAATAAATATAAAACAGCTGAAAATAATAAGCGAATTTAATTTTGATAATACGAAATACTTTTTAAAATTTCATGATTATGACATTTATGCAAAACCGAAATTAAGAAAGATCATTTCGTACATACTCATTATATTTTTCGGCCGATGCAAATATCAGATCATATGAAAAGTATTTAAAATGTTAATCAAAAGTGGCAAACCAATTTATGGGTTAAGAAAATATAATTTACAGAACTTTGTGTTTCATTCCATCATCTAAATGTTAGATAAGCTGTAGAGAAATGAATCTTTGACCAATCCTAATATACTCGGCCAGTCATATGGGCATCGATCTCGATAACATCGAACCTCCTATTTCTCAGCCTTCAGCAGATAGTTAATATGAATGAAATTTTTTTATAACTAGTTTCCTTTTAATATCATGGGGAAAAAGTGGCGAATAAGATTTTTATTGTTGCTATATGAGAGTGAATACGTAAGTAACATCAGACTCTTAAAAGGAAATGATATGAACAATTTTCAAAGAATGCCGTTAAAAGTAAGTTACAATGTATAAAAGAATTTGAATCACATACCCATTTCAGATATTTACAATAGATTTAAAAATATACGCTGTAGGATGAAAATGACAAATATTTTTCTTATATAAAGAAATAGAAGAGAGAAGAAGTCGATTTGAAAAAAATTATTTTCGAGTTTCATAGGATGGAATCCAACACCTCTGATTTTATTGGTTTTAAAACTAGGTCACCAGCATGTTGAAGGAGAGAGTGTCAGCTTTTTTATTTGTGTTATATAACTATGAATACACCATTAGCATAAGACAAGTGTTGTATAACAGCTCTAAATGGAAACTCATGAAAGCAATTAAGTAATTACGCGTAAAGCAAACAAGGATGAGGAAAAGAAGAGTTTGATTAGAAAGGCGAATTTCTTAAAGCGATTTAAGGAATTATAAGAATAATTAAAGTAATACGCGTACATTAAGCAAAATTCTGATATTTTTTAAATCTCTCCTTGCAGTGTACGTTTATTATTTAACTGATATATAAATGAAACAAAATTTAAATAGAATTCTATAATTTTGGTGCATTAGTTGATTACATAAGTATAATGTTTTTCCAAATTTAGAATTATTTCATTACCAGGTTCAGAATCTATCATTGGCAAAGGTGCTTAATTCCTAAATGTTTAATACTTCTGGATCTTAACAGAAAATGCTTATAGAGCAGTTCATTTTTAAATATAAAAATTTAACACGGTTGAAGTTGCGTAAAAAAAATGGATTTCGCGAAATCTTTTTTGGACCCCGAAAATCTTTCAAATATTGTTTAGACCGTAAATAACCAAGTAGATCTGAAAAACGTTATTGCTCATTTTATTTCAGTAAAAGCAAGAAAAATAAATTTACGAAAAAGAGCTTGAATAGTAATGTAATACTTAATTATATTAATTGTAGTGTTATTTGTAATTATCGCAGAGTATTTCAGTTATTTCAGTGTCAAAAAGGCACATCTTAATGTTTTTATTTTAAAATTATAAAGTATTACATGTATTAATTTCCTAATACATAAATTTATAATTGAAAATTATTATAATAGTTAGGGTAGGATTTCGTATTAATTCGATCTTTATTGAATATAAGTGTATATATATGCAGTTAAATTAATTGTATATAGGGGCGTGCATTTACCTCTTTGCCTCAGATAAAAACATACATAGGCATGGCTCTGAGTAAAATTATCGGGTTTTAACGAAAGTTTCCCGCCACTTCAAATATCGTTTGCGCAAACACTTTGCATTGGCGTGTTTAATCATATTTTGTCAAACGAGTTTTGGCATTTGAAACAAGGAGATTTGCTTTAGAACATTGTGTCGTGAAATTTGTAAAAAAATATCGTTATCATTTAGTACAAGGTGTCTGAAATGGAACTATCACGCTACTAGATTAGAAGTATCATTTGCTTCCAGTTCTGTTGAAAAAAGTCAGCTACAGAATGTCACGAAATCATGTGTAAAGCTTTAGGTACTAATCTTGTATCATATGACACTGTGAAGGTTTGAAACCGAAAGTTAAAAAAAAAGAGGGGAGGGGCAATGTGACATTCAAGAAGTAGAGCGCTCTGGCCTGCTTATTGATGTTGATGAGACCTGCCTGCGAGAACTTGTGGAAGAAGATTAGTATGCAACCAATCGAGAGCTTGCTAAGGAGTTAGACGTTAGGGCCATCTCCATTAGTTGCGATATGCATCGTATAAACTTGACGTACAAGTTCAATCGCATAAAACATAATGTTCCATCAAGATAATGTAAAACTACATGTGTATGCATTCACGTGCTGAACTCTGTACGGAATCGGATGGGATCTTTTGCCACATCCACCATACAACCCCGACATTGCTCCTTCGGACTTCTACCTTTTTTTTTTACACCTGCAGCTACATCTTGCTGGTGCTATCATTCATTCTGCACAGAACGCCCGAAATGAGGTTAATCTGTTTTTGAACTCGCGGCCACCAAGTTTCTGGGCCGAAGGCTTTGAAACACTACCATATCGTTGGCAGGAAATCATAGATTTGGTTAGTCATTACTACCCGCACTAAAATATTGCTTTTATGTCTTTTTTCTAACTTTATTAAAAACTTTCGTTACAACCAGATATTTCCCTAGTGACCCTCTGTTAATAAATATATAATAGATATTTATAAAAGCATATTTTATTAAAATTTCTGATGAGATAAGCGTTATGGTTTCCGAAGAATCTTAAGTATTTGATTTCAATAACCTTAACCCTTTTTTAAAAAAAATGTTAAATATTCAAATTTAAAATTTAAAAAAAAAATGTTTTTGACAGATAATACTTCTAAATGAAGAAACACGCGCTAAAATAATTTCTGTTAGCATATGTAATCAAAGAGTTAAAAATAAAAACCAAATTAAATATTTCTGTAAATTCTATACATTTTTTCTGACATTGTGGAATTGCAAATAAAGTACTTTACAAGTATACTTATAGTAGGGAAATTAAATTATTGACAAAAGCGATAGCTTTTCTGAACAGTAAAACTGTGGAACAACATCGTGCAAGTTTGGTTTGGTTTTTTGTTTATGGCAAAGCACTCCACGTTTATCTGCCCTAAAGGAGGAATGCCTTCGTAAACGACTTTTTAAAGAAAACTTACTCGTATGCATGTTACACATGTGAAAACCACAAGAAAGCCTATTTGTTTGAAATCGAACTCAGGTCAAACTAACAGTGTTAAACGACTCGTCCCGCTCGGCCGCTGGTGGACCGAGAAAGTGTAAGGAAACAGTTATCTGGTTTATTAGGTTTGAATATCTAAATAATTTAAAAATAATGTGAGCATCTTTCAACCAAGCATATGATAATTAACAGTAAATTTATTATAAACTAAGTTAAAAGTATCAAGTTACATACATAATTGAATTAGTGATTACATAATTGAATAAATTAAATTAATTGAAACTAAAAGTACTAAACAGATAAAAAGGCGGAAGGAATTCTGGAAAAAGTCTAATTAGCCTGTGTTACATAGTAGTTATCTACACAAGCGTAAAACTCTTGTTTAGAAACGTAAAACATTATGCAAAAGAGAAAATTAGCTATATGTTTACTTTTAAATTTAGCGTCATGCAACTTTCTTTGAAGTTGCTTCATACAACCCACCTGCCTTAGAGCGATCACTGAGTGTGGCAGCATGCGAGATCAGCGGCTTGGAATGCTTTCCCTCCATCGACTTTTCCAGTTATGAAAGCATTTTCTCCACAAAAAACTTTCGCTCACCCCACTCATTGGGAAATACCCCTTTGCCACGCATGCGCGAGCACAGTGCCTCCACCTGAATGGCCACGCGACCACGTGCTGCCGAAACTTTCTCCCTTGCACAATGGCCTGCCTAACACAAACCGAATGCACAATGCTCAGTTTCAGCACTTGGGCATCAAGCAGCACGTGAGCCTGACTGCCAACGGCCACCCCTCACAGCACCGCCACCACAACAACAAACAGCGATCACGTGACGTCAGCAGCGAGATGCTGGCCCTTGACCCCAATCCCTTCTCTCGGTTCCTAACTTGTCGACAAATTTCGTAGGATCTGTGTGAAGGTCGAGTGAGCCAGGCAAGGAAGTATGTCAGAAACGAGGTTTTGCTCGTAATGTGTTTATAGTAAGGTATTTATCATCAGAACTTCACTTTCGCTAGCGGTCAGTCTGACTTGACTCGTCTGGGGGTTCGTTGGTCATCGCCGAATCATCCTCTCCGATTTCATATAGCAGTAGCAGTAGAAGACTAGAGCTTGAGCTAGAAGAGGGAAAGGATTTAAACGGATTTATCTCTAACCAAAGGTGCGCTTCATTCTTTGCTGCTATTAATTTTAAGCTGTTTTAAGATTTTTAGCTTTTAAAAAAAGTTATAATGACTGTAAATTGAAAAGAGTCTTAATTTAAATTACAGATTTCATTAATTTATGTGTAATATTAATTATAATATTCTTATGAATTTTAATCTCATGTTCTTATAAATTTTTAATTTCCTGCTTACGATTTTAAAATTTATTAATTTAATACTAAATGCAAGTCTTTTTACATTTATTATTTTTAAACTGAGAATTTTAAATTTATTTTTATTGCGAGAATCTTGTCGACTTCATTGACTTTAATTTAAAGTATTTATAAAATTTATGTTGCATTTAAATTTATTTTTTATTTAAAAACACTTAAAGAATAATCAATATATAATAGTTTGCCCATTCTTCTAATAAAAATTATTTTAAAAAAGATATCACAAATTTATTTTGGGGGTAGACTTATGAATACCTCTGAGACCATTTGTTTCGTCATTAAACAAAGCATTATTCTTATGAGATTATCAGTATTCATAACTCACACTTTGAAATTTTCTTTCTGTTTTCATATGCAGTGCTGTGTATATGGTCAATATGAATGTCAATTAAAAATTTTATTTCTTCTAAATAATTTAAATTTTGTTTTACTGAGATTTTAAGTTATTGTAATTGATGAAAAGAAATACATTCAGAAATATAAATAAAATATTAAAATTAGATCTAAAATGTATTATTCTTTAGCATCATACTTATTTTGAGTTGCTTTTGCTGCGGTAGATCTCTCTTAAATTCGTTGTATTAATATTGAAGCATTAGCCGGAAGGCGCCCTGGTATTTGCTTTCTCTGTATTAAACATCCATAAGAAAGGAAAAAACAACTTTACAAGATGGTCAAATTCTAAGTCGAAGCGCCACGCCTCATCTATACTATGTTGCACGACAGTTGACAGAAATTTCTTTACTAAAAATAACTCTCTATTAATGCCTAGTCCAATTTTAAAATTATGGCTATGGTATATTTCATCGAGTGATATTAAATACACTTTTATAAATTAATCGCTTGAATTTGCTTTTTCTTGTGTTTTTAACTCTTTAAATATCTTGTTAGTTGATAATTGTTTTTATGCCGGCCCATTATCATATCCAACCCACCCGAAAATCATTATCTAGGCTAAAAATAAAGTTTTTCATATTCACTGTCAAAAATCATCCTAATAATCTTTATAATGAAAATATTATTAAAAAATTAAATTCCCTCCTTCTCTAAATTTACCTAAATATTGATAACTGGGCAACAAATAAAATGAATGTTTATCGAAAGCATTTATTAGGGAAAAAGAACTATTACAACTTTTTCCATATATCTTTTCTAATTTTACAATAAGTTACTCGGGAAGAAAATTTTTAAAGAGGTTCTGCATTTTTAATAACATTTTGCAACAAGTGCTCTTAACAATTATATGATTAACATGATTAATAATAGAATCTCCTAATTCTATATATTAAGTGTGTTTGCTACCACCATTACTTTTTTAAATAGCCTGTCAGCATGCTATTGCTTGCATAAAAAATAATATATAATGATATTGCGAAGTTCTGTAGAAATATAGTTATTTTAATTTTCAAACTGATTTTGACAGTCTGAAAAATCCATATTGTTGGATATAATTAAATTTGACGAAAGTTATAGCACAATATTTTGTTTCAAAATGCAACTATTTTTACATAAAATTAGCAAAGCAACAACCTTGTATTTAGCATAGAATTAGTCAAAAACTCAATCGATTTCGAGGGTAAACTCTTCATCCCTCTTCATAAGGAGCAAAGATATCTGCAGCATCCACATCAACATTGTACATTTCTTTGCTCCTATTGAAGAAAGACTTGTATCTGTTTGTCATTGAAATTAATGGAGATCATGATTAAATCTACACTAAACTCAAGGTTGTTTCTTTGCTAATTTTATATTTTATTCTGGCGTACTTCTCTTCTGTTTTGACAATTTTTTTGTTTTCTAAAAAACATTAATAATGCCTTTTCATTACTTAATATGTAGCAAGATATTTTGTTTACACTTTCGATGACGGGCTGCTCAGAAGCCCGTCATCGTCATTTTCGTGGTTTTTCCCATGTGTAACGTGTATACGAGCCAGTTTCCCTTAAAAAGTCCTCCACGAAAGGCATTCCTCCTCTTAAGCAGATAGCCCTAGTGTGCTTTGCCATAATTAAATACACCACCACACCACCGCTGCTTATATTTCTTTATTAACAGTTTCTATCTTTTTCTTTTGAGAAGAAACGTATATAACGCCATCTGAACTCGCATTGTGAAATAGCAAACTGGTAGAGTTTTAAATCTATTTAATGTTATTAAAATAAAAAATATTCTAAACACCAGTAGTTGTCTGGCTATAATAACGCGTTAGGGAGAATTAAGGTACTGCTCATAAGTTAAATATCAAGCTAAAATTATTTTCGTAACTATCGCCAGACTACTACTGGTTTCTGTCTCTAAATTGCAAGATACAGAATCTTAAACGCTTAAATTCCCTGATCTATAAGATGTAGAATATTATGCTTTTAAATTCTCTAAATAGTAAGATATAGAATCTTATGCTTTTAAATTCTCTAAATAGTAAGATGTAGAACCTTATGCTTTTAAATAAGACGTACTTCGTATATCCATATTCTCTAAATAGTAAGATGTAGCATCGTATGCTTTTTAAATTATTTAAACAGTAAGATGTAAAATCTTATACTCTTAAATTCCTTAAACTGTAATATGCAGAATCTTATACTCTTAAATTCCTTAAAATGTAAGCTGTAGAATCTTATGCTTTCAAATTCTCTAAATAGTAAGATGTAGAATCTTGTGCTTTTAAATTCTCTAAATAGTAAGATGCAGAATTTTATACTCTGAAATTATCTAAATTAAGATGTAGAATCTTATGTTCTTAAATTCAGATATTAACATAAGGATTTTTCATAAACTGCTACATTTAATCTACTGTCTTCTATATATTGTATTTGTTTCTATTCCCCTATCAGTGACACATGCAAACGGTATTTGATATAACCAAATATTTTAAGAAGATGCACAATTACAACAAATTAATTTCCTTATGAAGACGTTTAAGTAATACACACATAATCGTAATTAATTAATTATAAAAACCTAGTTGTTTAACATAAGTTATTTTTTAATGACAGAATCAAAAATATGATTGGAGATATTAATAGCAGTTTGCAAAAGTACTCCAACAGCTATCATTTTTCCGACTTGAAATACATTTAAAAATTCTTCCATAACTGGATTGATATCGAAATTAACAACTTCAGTAAGGCATTCATGCATAGTGAGTCAATAAACCTTTATCACTAAGTTTATACAATACCGAAAACTGAAAGTGACGACATTCTCATTTCTACGCCTTCAGTATATAATCCTTACGCAACGTCTTACACTTTTATATAGCTGGTTAGATTCCTTCTTAAAAGTATCTATTGAAATACTGTTTAAGTATCTGATTATGGCTTTTCTAATCTCTTCAGTGTCAAAATAATGCCCTTCGAGTTGGCATTTCTCTTTAGGAAAGAAAATGTAACCTTCACGTGCCCAATCTGGAGAGTCAGAAGATGAATGAGAGCTATGACACGTTTATTTGTTAGAAACTATATGATGAGAATGAAGTTATGTGACACACTGTCATGCAATAGCAACCAGGTATTCTATAGGGCTTTCCCAGGTCTAACGCACTGAATTCTCTTCATTGTTGTCTGTTTGGTACGCCTCTATAAAACATGGACTTTACAATCTGTCCTCGGGAAAAAATTCTTTGTTAAGCATTTTTAAATCAAAAAGGTTCACTAATATGGTCTTTGCTTGAAATTTCTGAAATCGAATTTTCTATGGCCGTGATGAACTTTCTCCAACCGGAGCAAATGCTTTCCGTGTTCTTTCAGAATCATATGCAAAGTACTAAATTTCATCTTCCCGCACAATTTATTTGAAAAGGATAAAGAATAGTTCCCGTTTCGCAGCGACATGTATTTGCTATTTTTTTGTTCATCTTTCAAGTCCGTGAAAGCAAATGTTCACTGAGTCAAAATAAATAATTAACTGCATAGAAAATTCGACGATATATTAAGAAACCGACGTAAAATGCCATAATAATAATAAGTACTGTTAATTATTGTTTTGAAGCTTTCCTGGAATTTATTAAAAATACTAGTTTAAAAACTTTGTAGACGTACTTCGTATATCCATATTATTTTAATAAATGAATAAGTATAATGAAATAAAAAGGGAGGGAGGAAGGAAATCGAACAATGTTAGATAAAATATATCCAATTTTAGTGTCTGTAAGAGATCTTGGATGGAATTTTAACGAGCATTCTTGCGATAAATGTTTCTGTCCAGCAATTCCCTAGGGTTGAAGAAACGACCGCGAAGAAAGTAGGCCTTCGCATGAAGAAAAGAACCCGGTTACGAGCACTCAAAATATTTCCGCCGGCATTTTGAAGGAAAGAGTTTCTGGATGAGTTAATTTTTCTTAGGAGAAAAAAAAAAAAAACTTACGTGAATCATTCCCGAAAGGGCGGAACTCTGCGTCGCCGATAGTGTGAATAATATCTCGGGAACTTCTTCCTTTTGAAAATACACAATGCTATTAAAATGTGCATGACTATATTTAACGAATAAAGATAAAAAATGTATTCGCTATATACTATTTTACCTTATGCATATATAACTATGTTTTATATAATTAATATACTAAAAATGTAAAATGTATATAAATTACGTATAGATTAATAATATAAATAAAACTATAAAATGTTATAAACTTTTATTTTAAACTTTATTTACTTAAGTTGTGAGCGTTAAAATTACTTATAGCCTAATGTTTCATTTCTCCGCATCGCATTACGTCGTGATGTCAGAGTATAAATCATCTGCTGCTCCTGGAAAACTGACCTTTTCGAAAGTTGTTGTCAGTCCTTGTAGCATAAGATCTTTAATTTATATTTCGAATTATTACAGTACACTGCTTATTAGTGAAAGAAACCGAGTGATTTAAAAAAACCTTTTATGCATTTCTTAGTAATTTGCATGCATATTTGTGGATTATTAGAGTACTAGCAACAATACGTGTGCATATTGTGTATACGGAGACCCTTTTGAAAACATTCTGTAGAATTCTTATGTTAATGCTGGAGTTCGTAAAATTTGCATGGAATTCTGTAGAATTCGTATGCCATAGATCGAGAAATTTTGGATAAAATTCTTGGTTGAAGGAAAACAATCTTCAAAAATTTTCTTAATTTCTTTTTCAGTTTCTTGCTTATTGCCAGGAGAATGCTGAGGGGTTGGTTCGATGCGTTCCGAAGCGACGGAGGCCCCACTCTCTACACATTCGCCAACAGGACCCCCGTCACAGAAGATGTCCGGAACGTTCTCATCTACGTGTCGTTCTCCACCATCTTCGTCGCCTTTCTCATTGTTTTCCCAGGAATTCGGAAAGAGGTAACTCATTCGATTCTTTTTTAAATTTATGGTTTTTATTCTTAATTCGGTCTTGCAGGAGTTAAAAATTTGGTTTTGCCTCAATAGACAAAACATTCATGTGAGCTATCATTTTCATCATTATTTGTTATTTCGTACTGAATAGCATATTTTATGTTTTATAACAAATTTTCCTTTAAAACATACTGACTGTAATTTTCTTTCTGAGTTCATGCCAAGAAGTACCTATAAAAGATCCAAACATATGTGTGCAGTATACCAGCTGTTTACGAACTTTGTGATGAGACTGTTTTAATGTTTGCATTCATACGTTGGCTTACATTACACATTTTATTATTAATTAACCATTTAAATTCACACCAGTTCGTAAATAGTGCTGACAGACATGGAAGTTAGGAGATATCATTTAGTTGCTCTATCGGTGATACGTTTGATATTTTTTCAAGGACATTGTAACCGAAATGGAAGAGTTCTTTTGAGGCGTTTGTTTTCGTTCTAATTAAATTTCGCTGGGGACTTAATAATTCTGTCATAAACAAACTATACTTTTTAAGGTCAAGATACGGAATTCAAAATGAGGGAAACGTAATTCTTAATCTGAAGGTTAAGAGCTACATATGCACTTAGTATTTGATATTTTATATTCCAAGGTCACTCATTCGCGGTATGCAAGAAGGAAAAAGAAAGATTATAGCTTTAATTGAAAGGTACTGCTAATATTAACTAAATGACACGTTGTCGAGACTATTTAGTAAAAAAAGTGCCATTGCTTAAAAATGTAATAATTGCAGATTTATATATTCCAAATTTACAGTTCGATCAGGGCCATTCAGCAACGGAATTGATACCGAATATAACGAGCTTTGCTTTCAGAGGTATGAAAACGATATCACTGAAAACAACAAACATTGAACTCGATTTAATTTATACTCATTTTAAATATCTTCTTCGAATAAGCTAATTTACATTTTTTCCTGTGTGAATACAAATTTGTACCCACTGTGAAATGTTCCGAAGCGAACATGAATATAATTGCTTGTAGACTGACTCTGAACGTTACAAGATAGCTTCGAAAGTACTTAAAAGTTAATGAGTTAGTTTTGCGAAACTCTGAAACGTAGCAGTTTCGATCTATCCTGGATTTAAGTTATCGCGTTATAAGCTTTGGAGTGACATCAACAGAATAAAACTTTTTAATTTATGAATGGGATCACCACTTCTCAACATATAAAAGTTACCTCCAAGTGTACTGTCTTCCTAAATTAGAAAATCACTCTTAAAATAGGTACAAAAATACCAATATTTGGTACGTTTTTATACATAACGTATTGTTTGGCTTTGTTAAATGCAGCATTATGCAAAAGAAAAAAAGCCATTGCTTGCTCTGTTATACAGGAAAATAATAAGAAATGTATGCCATCATAAGAGATTTAAGAATATGCTCTTGATTTCAATGATATAAAGAAGGGCATTATTTATAAACCATTAAATTGAATAATTCATAGGACTTCAGTTGTGATTTGATTCACAGCATTCAAGCTTTTTATCATTGAAGAGATTCATTTCATAACATTTTCTTCAAAACGTGCTAACCAAATTTACTATATTTCTTCTAAAAACTCTTTTGACTTAGTTTTTTTTAACTGCTATGCTGTAGCATCATAAATTCCTCACAGATGTTCTAAAGAATTAAAATCTGGGTTTCGTAATCACCAATCTAAAGTTCAATGTATTTAAATTCGTTTAAAAATATTGAAGTCAATTTCATGTTATTCATTTCAAGTTTTCAATTCATTTTAGGTCAATGTTCAGTTGATAATAACATTTTATAGCAATAAGAAAAATCCCCCTTCCCATATTAAGACGAATAAGGAATTTGATGAAACATTTTGTGACCCTACCTTTTAGCTTTGTACAGATGTCATATTCATTTATAAGTAAAACTGTTTAAAATAAGTGCATTTCTACCTTCACATTTGTGACAGTCGATATACCCTTGAATGTATCTTTCATTTGATTGTTGTCTTAACAGTGTGTCCTATCTGTATTGAAAGTTAAAAAAAAAAGATTCATTTACCTAGCGTGTGCTTGCCCACTTTTCTATTGAAACATCATTATATTTTCTAGCTACATATAAGCACTTAAGTTCAGGTTATACAGTAATGGGTTTCTTGAATTGATCCTTTATAATGAGATATTTTTTAAGTGGGTCACAGTTTTCTGTGTTTTATAGATGGCGTATATTAATCTGCGGTATCAATTCTTTCACCCATCTTACGCTTTTTAACTGAAGAAATTTATGATTGTTAATTTCCTCAGCCATCCTTTTCTTCCTGTTTCTGTGTTAATTCTAACATCTGGTTGTTTCAAAATATGTTACATTGCAAAATTAAGAAAAACTCTTAAAACTCTTTGTAAAGCTTCAAAATCCAGATTTCAGGAAACACAAAACATGTGAAATGTCAAGTATGAAATCTACTTAATCTGCAACAAAAGCACAAACAAATAGCACAAGAAAATTATGAGGTTTTCAATGAATTATATTGTAAATTCATCTCCAATTCGAGAAGCGACAAACGTTTGACCAATTGAAATTGCATAGGAAAGTAAAATCTGAAAAAAATAAATTTTTAACTTTTATGTATTTTAACGTTGAAGAAATTTTCACAAAATGGTCATCTTCTTACTCGCAGTAGTTAGGAATTATTGAAAAGTAGTTTCGACAACTAAGAACTAAGCTTTGTTCCAATACATTTGCAGATATTACTGTATTTCGCATAATTTAAATGAATTATTTTAATTTGACAAATTTGTTTCTTTGTCAGAAAATAGAAAGAAATAAAACATTTATTTTCGACACAAAACTAAAATTTTGTATTTTTATAAACTGAATTTTTCGCGATATTTATCTTCTTTCATTTTAATAAAAACTTATATACATGCTCCTAGTTACTTCGTTTCTATCTAAGAGGAAAGCTAAAACCTTAAGGAGTTATAAGCTGCATTCCTTTCAACTTCTGAATAAATATCTCAACTCCAAATGTTCGGAAACTAGTAAAACTTCCTTAGCGTTCTTTCATAGTGGTCATTTGTCGTACTGAAACTAAAAATATGTATCTCCCTTATTTTCAAAGTCATTGCAGGGCAGATTTGGAAACTAGTGAAACTTAGATGAGCTGAAATTCTCACTCTCTGCAACAAAATTGCAAACTATGATGAAATTTAATTTAAAATTATTTACATTAATTCCCTATTTGAACAAGGTTTGTTTTAACTTAGAAAAGTATCTATAAACAACATTTTTAAAGTGTTTTGAAAATGTTAAGTTCAACAGACTAATGTTTGAACTTAAGAGGTAAATATTTAGTTTTAAGTTTTGTGCTGTGCAGCTTGACTTCGACTTGTCTCATCATAATGCTTATTTTCAATTACTTCACAAATCTAGTCTCCCACACCTCATCCCGTACCACTAGCCTCTTGAGAGGACTTTCGGCTCGCCGCATATTTTGAGTGCCCCAATGTCGCACGGAAACTATACATTTACAAACATACATGCCTTTTCTGGATTCGAACCCGTGCCCTTCGGGTACGGTAGTCAGAACCACTAACCAATATCTTGCTTGAGCGGTTTCACAAATCTTAATGCTTGCTACTTTATTACCTAAATAGATGCGCCCTTTGCCAAATGGTTAAGACACAGATCTCTCATAAATCTCGGATTATATTCGCTACAGCAAAAGAAGCTAATTGCATGAATGCTTTTAGAAGGTCATCCAAGGAAACGTTTCTTCCTGTACCAGAGACAGCTAGTGGCTGCTTAAGCAACGCATCTTAGCTAAATTTTCGTATTTTTAGTTTAAAATTGAAATTTTTTCTGTAAAGAATAATTTGTCTTTTCCATTCAGAAGGGATGTGTTGTCTTAATTATGTGATTTTTAAACTTAAATATCTACTTTCCAATGTTAGTATGATAATTAAGAGCACACATTATTATTAAAAATACCCCAAAACAAGCAGAAATTTTAAAATATTAAAATTATTTGAGTATGTTTTGAGATTGGCTAGAAAGTGATCATTACTTGCTGAATTACTATTTTTAGTTAGTTGACGGATGGGTGCTTGGCGTTGCGATAGTTAATACTACGCATTGCGGCATTTATTTCTTTTAATCGTATTTCTCGTATTAAGTATTTCGTAAAATTAAATGATAGCCGCATGCTAGCCATCGTAACAAAGATACGCTTCTATATTCAGTCAGTCAAAAATAGAAAGTCTGATAAGCCAAGATATTTACTTTCCTTCTTTACTTTCGAGAGATTTGAGAAGGGACATGCATGTGTACCTTTATGGCACGAGGACATGCACAATCTTCTTATGTTTTACACACCAAAAAGTGCGAAATTTTCGGATTGGCGCTTACTAAATTCGAATGACCATTTTGAACGTACTGCAAAATCCTTATGTGAGATTAGCAGGTTTGAAATTTATTTTAAATTACAACAATGTAAGGAAAAAGTATTTCCAGAAAATGAGAATACAGCATAAATGAAGAGCTCAATACGAGGCATCTGTTCACATGAGACAATATTTTGGTTGGGCATAACAGTTTTAAAAGTGGAAAATCAGATTTTGTTTACTAATGCATAAGAATTTTTGCATTTCTCCGTCTATATGAAATCATTGCATCTCGCCTTAGAAACATAGGACTCCTTATAAGAATTTCAACAGTATGATGATCGTTCTTGCAGTATAAGGTATTTCTCCCGCCTTCTTAACATGACTTCATGGTGTAGTGGTCAGAACGTTCGACGCGAATTCAAGAGGTCTGTGGTTCGAGTTCCGGCGACGGCATTTCTCATTTTTCACATCTCTCTTGCTTCAAAAAAATCCTATCATCTCTACAGTGACATGCAAACTAAAAAAGGCGGTGGATGATGATTCTGCACGACCAGGATTTGGGTAACTGGGTCTCCCCAGTCGCCCTTTAAACTCCAGTCGCC